AAGCTGTAAGCCCCAGGCTACTTTGGGCTCGCCTTCCCATCAATCGAGGACGAGGATTGGTGGTCGGGGTTACTTATGCCCCCACCGAAGACGAACATCCGTGGAGTGATGCAGGCAAAGCCGATGAGTCAGATGCCTTCTATGACCTCCTGTCACAGGTGCTGGCTAAAGTGGCCCCTCGGGATAGAGTCATCTTGTTGGGTGACTTCAATGCCCGAGTTGGTAATGATGCTGGCACCTGGCCTGGAGTGATTGGAGGGCATGGGCCGGATCAGCTTAATAACAACGGTAGGAGGCTGCTAGATTTTTGTGCAGCCCATGGACTTGTAATTACCAACATGCTGTTCTGGCATCGGCACATCCACACAACATCATGGATGCATGCCGGGTCCAAGAAAGAACATCTGCTGGACTACATAGTGACGGACCAGCGGAGCTGATCTGCCCTCTGACCATCGACTTGTCATCTGTAAGATGCGCCGCCCATTCTTCCGCTCCGGTGGTGGGTGTACACCCAGGACCCCATTCCAACCAAAAGTGGCCTGATCTCGGTTATCTGACGAAAGTTGCAAGCAAGAATTTCATCATCGCCTGCGGCTGGGGTTGGCATCGTCCCCCACTCCTCCTGATGTCGAGGGTAAATGGGCGAGGTTTAGAACTGTGACTCATGCGGCTTCAATGTCTGCTTTGGGTAGGTCAGGACCTCCCCAGAGACCCTGGCTGACAGAGGAGGTGTTCAGGATGGTTGAGAAAAAGCGACAGGCCCACTGTCATCGGCTACAGAATCCCACGTCAGAGAATGAGGAGGCTTACCGCAACCTTCGCTCGGAGGTTCGGAGAGCCATGAGGCGCTGCAAGGATGGGTGGTGGTCGCGGGTTGCTGAGGAGATGGAGTCTACCTCAGTGGCCCGCGATCACAAATCTCTATTTAACTCCATCAAAAAAGTAACCTGCAGCGCCACACCTATTACCATCATTAGGGGAAAAAACGGTGATCCAATCTCCATCCCCCAGGAACAGGTTTGTAGATTTGCTGAGCATTTCTGTGAGGTCCTGGGGGAGGGAATATCCCTCAGCCAGGAAAACATCGTGGCACAAAGTGAGGATGACCCTACTGAGGCTGCGGTGCCTCAAATATTGGAAGAAGTCACCCCCTGTGAGTGGCTGGCTGAGGTGCCATCTGTTGAGGAAGTACTTAGGGCGATCCGGAGTCTGAGACCAGGAAAGGCAGCAGGCAGAGATGATCTCCCAAGCGAAATGCTGAGGGAGGGTGGAGTTTGTGCACAGACTGCCCTATATGACATCATAACAACAGTCTGGACCACTGGACGGGTTGCGCAGGATTGGAAGGATGCCCTGGTGGTCCCCCTTTTTAAGAAGGGGGACCGCACAGACTGTAACAACTACAGGGGCATTTCACTCCTCAGTGTGCCGGGAAAGGTCCTGGCAAGGATTATTCAACATCGCCTTGCCAGGCACGCGGAGGAGAGGCTTGTGGAGCCCCAGTGCGGTTTCAGGAAAGGGCGGTCCTGCACAGATGCCATATTTTCTGTCTGTCTGCTTTATTGACCTGGTCAAGGCCTATGATACCATCAATAGGCCTGGGCTCTGGGTTGTTCTTCGTGCTTTTGGAGTACCTGACCCTCTGCTCACGATCATTAAGGACCTTCATGATGGTGAACGGGCCCGGTTAAAACTACGTGGCCGGGAGTCCGAGCATTTCCCTGTACACCTTGGGGTGCGCCAGGGATGTCCTCTGGCTCCCACATTATTTAACATCTATTTCGACCACGTACTTCGTGAAGCCTTCAATAGCTGTACCGGGGGAATCTCCATATGGTACAGATATAATGGGAGGCTGATCGATGCCCAGGTGCGGTCAAGGGATGGCTCCCTATTGCTCAACCACGTTATGTCTGCTGATGATTTGGTAATAGCTGCTCATTCAGAGGAGGAGTTGGAGACGCTGCTGCTGAGACTGGAGCGTGCCACTAAGAGATGGGGCCTTACCATCAGCCCCACCAAAACTAAGCACCTGCCTGGGTATTTTGTACCATCGGACACTCCACCCCCACAACTCCCAATAGGTGATGGGGCAGTTGTGGAGAGAGTGGAGAGTTTCCAATACCAGGGAAGTGTGCTTATGACTGGCTCCAGTTTAACAGCAGAGGTCTAACTCTGAATCAGTCGAGCGGCAATATCTTTTCATCGGTTGCGTAACGCTGTGTGGAAGCTACCTGGTCTGTCGCTCCGCAGTAAGCTTCAGGTCTTCTCGGCCACGGTCATTCCCTCCCTTCTCTACGCTTGTGAAACGTGGACCCCCCTAATGGAACATCTTCGCCGGTTAGAAACATTTAGGCTGGCCTGCCTACGATCCATCCTGGGTTTAACCAGACTGGATTGTGTGAGCTCACAAATCCTTGAAAGATCTGGGCAAGGTCCTATCAGTGAGCTCCTCTGGCGGGCAAGGCTGCGATGGCTGGGTCATGTAGCCCGCATGCCCAGCCACCGCATGCTGAAACAGCTTTTGTTCGGCCGGATCGAGGGGGCTAAGCAGGCGCGGCACGGGCTAGAGAGGAGATGGAGTGATGTGGTACAGGAGGACTTGCCGATGATTGGTACCAGCGGTGTCAAGATCGGCCTTTGTGGAGGAGGCTCGTGAAGGATGCTACTGGGCAGTTGGAGGCAGTCGCCCTCCAACAACAACGGAGGGGGGAGCAGCGACGCTCACAACAACGAGCGGAGTGCCGGGTGGCTAGGGCACAGCAGGTTGGCACAGTAGGGGGCACAGGTGGTGCATCAGCCAGTCATCTCAGTCAGTCGACCCATGGCACCTGGGTCTGCCCCGTGACCTCCTGCCAGCGGGCGTTCGACACTCCACGTGGCCTCAATGTCCTGGCACAAGCGTCATGGTGACGTCACCGCCACCTAGTGGCGAATGGCGGTTGTTGTTGTGTGTCTCTGTGTGTGTCTCTCTGTGTGTGTCTCTGTGTGTGTCTGTGTGTGTGTCTGTGTGTGTGTCTCTGTGTGTGTGTGTCTGTGTGTGTGTGTGGGGAGCGATAGTGTAGCGGTTAGCGTGCTGCGCTATGAACCTGGCGACCCGGATTCGATTCCCGCTCACGGCCAACACCAGTGACGATTATCTGAACCGGTCCCGGGCCTCCCCTAGGTCGACTCAGCCTCAAATGAGTACCTGGTGCGGTGTGTAAACATTGCCACTAGGGAGACAAAGGCGGTCGGGCGTGGTGCTGGCCACCCACCCCCTCGTGTACCGTTCCGGCCTCCATAGGTGCTCGCTAACAGCACTTGCCCCTACAGTCTGTTAAGGCTATATGGGGGATCTTTGTCTTTGTGTCTCTGTGTGTGTGTCTCTGTGTGTGTGTGTCTGTGTGTGTCTGTGTGTGTGTGTCTGTGTGTGTCTCTGTATGTGTGTGTCTCTGTGTGTGTGTGTCTGTGTGTGTGTGTCTGTGTGTGTCTGTGTGTGTGTCTGTGTGTGTCTGTGTGTGTCTCTGTATGTGTGTGTCTCTGTGTGTGTGTGTCTCTGTGTGTGTCTCAGCCTCAAATGAGTACCTGGTGCGGTGTGTAAACATTGCCACTAGGGAGACAAAGGCGGTCGGGCGTGGTGTTGGCCACCCACCCCTTCGTGTACCGTTCCGGCCTTCATAGGTGCTCGCTAACAGCACTTGCCCCTACAGTCTGTTAAGGCTATATGGGGGATCTTTGTCTTTGTGTCTCTGTGTGTGTGTCTCTGTGTGTGTGTGTGTCTGTGTGTGTCTGTGTGTGTCTCTGTGTGTGTGTGTCTGTGTGTGTCTGTGTGTGTCTGTGTGTGTGTGTGTCTGTGTGTGTCTGTGTGTGTCTGTGTGTGTGTGTCTGTGTGTGTCTGTGTGTGTGTCTGTGTGTGTCTGTGTGTGTCTGTGTGTGTCTCTGTATGTGTGTGTCTCTGTGTGTGTGTGTCTCTGTGTGTGTCTCAGCCTCAAATGAGTACCTGGTGCGGTGTGTAAACATTGCCACTAGGGAGACAAAGGCGGTCGGGCGTGGTGTTGGCCACCCACCCCTTCGTGTACCGTTCCGGCCTTCATAGGTGCTCGCTAACAGCACTTGCCCCTACAGTCTGTTAAGGCTATATGGGGGATCTTTGTCTTTGTGTCTCTGTGTGTGTGTCTCTGTGTGTGTGTGTCTGTGTGTGTCTGTGTGTGTCTCTGTGTGTGTGTGTCTGTGTGTGTCTGTGTGTGTCTCTGTATGTGTGTGTCTGTGTGTGTGTGTGTCTGTGTGTGTCTGTGTGTGTCTGTGTGTGTGTGTCTGTGTGTGTCTGTGTGTGTGTCTGTGTGTGTCTGTGTGTGTCTCTGTATGTGTGTGTCTCTGTGTGTGTGTGTCTCTGTGTGTGTCTCAGCCTCAAATGAGTACCTGGTGCGGTGTGTAAACATTGCCACTAGGGAGACAAAGGCGGTCGGGCGTGGTGTTGGCCACCCACCCCTTCGTGTACCGTTCCGGCCTTCATAGGTGCTCGCTAACAGCACTTGCCCCTACAGTCTGTTAAGGCTATATGGGGGATCTTTGTCTTTGTGTCTCTGTGTGTGTGTCTCTGTGTGTGTGTGTCTGTGTGTGTCTGTGTGTGTCTCTGTGTGTGTGTGTCTGTGTGTGTCTGTGTGTGTCTCTGTATGTGTGTGTCTGTGTGTGTGTGTGTCTGTGTGTGTCTGTGTGTGTGTGTCTGTGTGTGTCTGTGTGTGTGTCTGTGTGTGTCTGTGTGTGTCTCTGTATGTGTGTGTCTCTGTGTGTGTGTGTCTCTGTGTGTGTCTCAGCCTCAAATGAGTACCTGGTGCGGTGTGTAAACATTGCCACTAGGGAGACAAAGGCGGTCGGGCGTGGTGTTGGCCACCCACCCCTTCGTGTACCGTTCCGGCCTTCATAGGTGCTCGCTAACAGCACTTGCCCCTACAGTCTGTTAAGGCTATATGGGGGATCTTTGTCTTTATCTTTGTCTCTGTGTGTGTCTGTCTTACCGGTGCGCACGGATATCCGCTGTGCGATCATTCTCCCTCCTATCACCGCCAGGCCCGTGCACAACCCATGCCCCACACAGCCTCCCAGAGCCACACCCAGTGGGTTCTGCAGTGACACACACAGAGACACGGTGACACACACACACATATAACAACAACCGCCATTCGCCACTAAGTGGCGGTGACGTCACCACGACGCTTGTGCCAGGCTATGTGCACCTTGAGGCCACGTGAAGTGTCGAACGCCCGCTGGCAGGAGGTCACGGGGCAGACCCAGCAGGTGCCACGGGTCGACTGACTGAGATGACTGGCTGATGCACCAACTGTGCCCCCTACTGTTCCAACCTGCTGTGCTTTAGCCACCCGGCGCTCCGCTCGTTGTTGTGAGCGTCGCTCCACTGCCCAGTAGCGTCCTTCACGGGCCTCCTCCACAGAGGCCGATCTTGACACCGCTGGTACCAGTCATCGGCAAGTCCACTCAGCTCCACATCCTCCCGTACCACATCACTCCATCTCTTCTCTAGCCCGTGCCGCGCCCATTTAGCCTCCTCTCTCCGGCCGAACAAAAGCTGTTTCGGCATGCGGTGGCTGGGTATGCGGGCTATATGACCCAGCCAACGCAGCCTTGCCTGCTGGAGGAGCTCACCAATGGGATTTTTTCAGATCTATCAAGGATTTGTGAGCTCCTCACACAATCCAGCCTGGTTAAACCCAGGATTGATCGTAGGCAGGCTAGGCTAAATGTTTCTAACCAGCGAAGATGTTCCATTAAGGGGGTCCACGTTTCGCAAGCCTAGAGAAGGGAGGGAATGACCGTGGCCGAGAAGACCTGAAGCTTAGTGCGGAGCGACAGACCAGGTAGCTTCCACACAGCGTTACGCAACCAATGAAAAGATATTGCCGCTCAACTGATTTGGAATGAGACCTCTGCTGTTAAACCGGAGCCGGCCATGAGCACACCGCCCAGGTATGGGAAACTCTCTACTCTCTCCACAACTGCCCCATCACCGATTGGGAGTTGTGGGGGTCGAGTGTCCAATGGTACAAAATACCCAGGCAGGTGCTTAGTTTTGGTGGGGCTGATGGTAAGGCCCCATCTCTTAGTGGCACGCTCCAGTCTCAACAGCAGCGTCTCCAACTCCTCCTCTGAGTGAGCAGCAATTACCAAATCATCAGCATACATAACGTGATTGAGCAATAGGGAGCCATCCCTTGACCGCACCCGGGCATCGATCAGCCTCCCATTATATCTGTACCAGATGGAAATTCCTCCGGTACAGCCATCGAAGGCTTCACGAACTACGTGGTCGAAATCGGTGTTAAATAATGTGGGAGCCAGAGGACATCCCTGTCGCACCCCAAGGTGAACAGGGAATGGCTTCGTATCCCGACCACGTAGTGATAGTAGTAACAGTAGCGATAACGTGATAGTGAAAGTAGTGATAGTAGTAATAGTAGTGATAGTAGTGATAGTAATGATAGTAGTGATAGTAGTGATAGTGATAGTAGTGATAGTGATAGTAGTGATAGTGATAGTAATGATAGTAGTAATAGTAGTGACAGTAATGATAGTAGTAATAGTAGTGATAGTAGTAATAGTAGTGATAGTAGTAATAGTAGTAATAGTGATAGTAGTGATAGTAGTAATAGTAGTGATAGTAATGATAGTAGTGATAGTAGTAATAGTAGTGATAGTAGTGATAGTAATGATAGTAGTGATAGTAGTAATAGTAGTGATAGTGATAGTAGTGATAGTGATAGTAGTGATATTAGTAATAGTAGTGACAGTAATGATAGTGGTAATAGTAGTGATAGTAGTAATAGTAGTGATAGTAGTAATAGTAGTAATAGTAATAGTAGTGATAGTAGTAATAATAGTGATAGTAATGATAGTAGTGATAGTAGTAATAGTAGTGAGAGTAGTGATAGTGATAGTAGTGATAGTGATAGTAGTGATAGTGATAGTAGTGATAGTGATAGTAGTGATAGTAGTAAATGTAGTGATAGTAATGATAGTAGTAATAGTAGTGATAGTAAGAGTAGTGATAGTAGTAATAGTAGTGAAAGTAGTAATAGTGATAGTAGTAATAGTAGTGATAGTGAAAGTAGTGATAGTAGTAAAAGTAGTGATAGTAGTGAGAGTAATAGTAGTGATAGTAGTGATAATAGTAGTGATAGTAGTGATAGTGATAGTAGTGATAGTAGTGACAGTGATAGTAGTGATAATAGTGATAGTGCTGGTAGTAATAGTAGTGATAGTGATAGTAGTGATAGTGATAGTAGTGATAGTAATGATAGTGATAATAGTGATAGTAGTGATAGTGATAGTAGTGATAGTAGTATTAGTGATAATAGTGATAGTGATAGTAGTGATAGTGATAGTAGTGATAGTAGTGACAGTGATAGTAGTGATAGTAGTGATAGTGATAGTAGTAATAGTAGTGATAGTGATAGTAGTGATAGTGATAGTAGTGATAGTAATGATAGTGATAATAGTGATAGTAGTGATAGTGATAGTAGTGATAGTAGTATTAGTGATAATAGTGATAGTAGTGATAGTGATAGTAGTGATAGTAGTGATATTGATAGTAGTAATAGTAGTGATAGTGATGATAATGATAATAGTGATAGTAGTGATAGTAGTGATAGTGATAGTAGTGATAGTAGTAATAGTGATAGTAGTGATAGTGATAGTAGTGATAGTGATAGTAGTGATAGTAATGATAGTGATAGTAGTGATAGTGATAGTAGTGATAGTGATAGTAGTATTAGTGATAATAGTGATAGTGATAGTAGTGTTAGTGATAGTAGTGATAGGGATAGTAGTGATAGTGATAGTAGTGATAGTAGTGATAGTAGTAATAGTAGTGATAGTAGTGAAAGTGACAGTAGTGTTAGTGATAGTAGTGATAATGATAGTAGTGATAGTGATAGTAGTAATAGTAGTGATAGTAGTGATAGTGATAGTAGTGATAGTGATAGTAGTAATAGTAGTGATAGTAGTAATAGTAGTGATAGTAGTGATAGTGATAGTAGTGATAGTGATAATAGTGATAGTAGTGATAGTGATAGTAGTGATAGTGATAGTAGTGATTGTGATAGTAGTGATAGTAGTGATAGTAATGATAGTGATAGTAGTGATAGTGATAATAGTGATATTAGTGATAGTGATAGTAGTGATAGTGATAGTAGTGATAGTGATAGTAGTGATAGTGATAGTAGTGATATTAGTGATAGTAGTGTTAGTGATAGTAGTGATAGTGATAGTAGTGATAGTGATAGTAGTGATAGTGATAATAGTGATAGTAGTGATAGCGATAGTAGTGATAGCGATAGTAGTGATAGTAGTGATAGTGATAGTAGTGATAGTGATAGTAGTGATAGTGATAGTAGTGATAGTGACAGTAGTGTTAGTGATAGTAGTGATAATGATAGTAGTGATAGTGATAGTAGTGAGTGATAGTAGTGATAGTGATAGTAGTGATAGTAGTAATAGTGATAATAGTGATAGTAGTGATAGTGATAATAGTGATAGTGATAGTAGTGATAGTGGTGATAGTGATAGTGGTGATAGTGATAATTGTGATAGTGATAGTAGTGATAGTGATAGTAGTGATAGTAGTGATAGTGATAGTAGTGATAGTGATAGTAGTGATAGTAGTGATTGTGATTGTAGTGATAGTGACAGTAGTGATAGTGATGATAGTGATAGTAGTGATAGTGATAGTAGTGATAGTGATAATAGTGATAATGATAATAGTGATAGTAGTGATAGTGATAGTAGTGATAGTGATAGTAGTGATTGTGATAGTAGTGATAGTGATAGTAGTGATAGTGATAATAGTGATAATGATAATAGTGATAGTAGTGATAGTGATAGTAGTGATAGTGATAGTAGTGATAGTAGTGATTGTGATAGTAGTGATTGTGATAGTAGTGATAGTGATAGCGAGAGCGACAGGTCGTTGTTCCTGTACCTCCCGTGAGGCCAGGACGATGGTCGCCAACTGCGAGCGGTCTCCCCACTCGGCCACCAGAGTCAGAGTCAGCGCCTGCAGCAGCACAGGCGGGACGGCTGGCAGGGTCGCCCGGTACAGCCGGCAAAGCTGGCCACCACCGCCACCACCACAGCCACCACCGAACCACCACCACCTTCTCGAGCCGGAGCTCGCGGGCGGAGACAGAGTCCCACTCTCAACGTCACCCTCCATCTGGCGGGGGGCAGATTAGGGAAGAGGGTGGAGTAGGTGGTGGTGGTTGTGGTGGTTGTTGTGGTTGTTGTGGTGGTTGTTGTGGTGGTGGTTATTGTGGTGGTTGTGGTAAGGGTTGTGGTAATGGTCGTGGTGGTGGTTGTGGTGGTTGTGGTGGTTGTGGTCGTGGTGGTGGTCGTGGTGGTTGTGGTGGTTGTGGTGGTTGTTGTGGTGGTGGTTGTGGTGGTTGTGGTCGTGGTGGTTGTGGTGGTGGTCGTGATGGTCGTTGTGATGGTGGTGGTTGTGGTGGTGGTTGTGGTGGTGGTTGTGGTAAGGGTGGTGGTGGTTGTGGTAAGGGTTGTGGTGGTTGTGGTGGTGGTTGTGGTGGTTGTGATGGTGGTGGTTGTGGTGATGGTGGTTGTGGTGGTTGTGGTGGTGGTTGTGGTGGTGGGTGTGGTGGTGTTGGTTGTGGTAGTGGTTGTGGTAGATCTGGTTGTGGTCATAATAACACACCACTCACCCACCCACTAAGCAACCCACTCATCGGTTCAATAATCCACCCACGCCGTCACCCACTCACCCACTCACTCCACCCACTCGCTCACCCCCACCTCACCCACCCCACCCACTCACCCCAAACGCTGGCTCGCTCACTCACCCACTCGCTCGCTCGCTCACCCACTTACTCACCCACTCGCTCACTCACTCACCCACTCGCTCACTCACTCACCCACTCGCTCACTCAGCCACTCACTCACCCACTCGCTCACTCACCCACTCGCCCACCCACCCGCTCACTCACCCACTCGCTCACTCATCCACTCGCCCACTCACCCACTCGCCCACGCACCCGCTCGCCCACCCACCCACCCGCCCACCCACCCGCTCACTCACCCACTTGCTCACTCACCCACTTACTCATCCACTCACTCATCCACTCACTCACCCACTCACTCACTCGCTCACTTACCCACTCGCTTACTCACTCACCCACTCACTTGCTCACTCACCCACTCGCTTACTCACTCACTCGCCCACCCATCCACTCGCTCACCCACCCACTCACTCACCCACTCACCCACTCGCTCGCTCACTCACCCACTCGCTCACCCACTCGCTCACCCACTCGCTCATTCACCCACTCGCTCATTCAACCACTTGCCCACTCACCCACTCACTCACTCGCTCACTCACCCATTCACCCACTCACTCACTCACCCACTCGCTCACTCACCCACGTACTCACTCACTCACCCACTCACTCGCTCACTCACCCACTCACTCGCTCACTCACCCACTCACTCACCCACACACCCACTCACTCACCCACTCGCTCGCTCACTCACTCACCCACTCGCTCGCTCACTCACTCGCTCACCCACTCGCTCATTCACCCACTTGCCCACTCACCCACTCGCCAACTCACCCACTCGTTCACCCACTCACTCGCTCACTCGCCTACTCGCCCACTCGCTCACTCGCTCACTCGCCCACTCGCCCACTCGCCCACTCGCTCACTCGCCCACTCGCCCACTCGCCCACTCGCTCACTCATCCACTCGCCCACCCATCCACTCGCCCACCCATCCACTCGCCCACTCACGCCACCCACCCACTCTCCCACCCACCTCTTTGTCCCTCCGCTTGATCTGGGCCTGCACCTCCTCCAGCTCCTCCTGGCCCTCGTCAGGCCCCATGCGCAGTCCGTCACGGATCATCCTCACGCCGAAGAGGGCGAAGAGGGCGGTAGAGATGTAGTAGGTGTAGACACGCGGCACGACCGTGGTAGCAAAGCCAAATAGTACTGCAGATACACACACAGTGACACACACAGTGACAGACACACAGTGACAAACACACAGTGATAGACACACACACAGAGACACACACACAGAGACACACACAGTGACACACACACAGTGACACACACACAGTGATAGACACACACAGTGATAGACACACACACACAGTGACACACACACACACACAGTGACACACACACACACAGTGACACACACACACAGTGACACACACACAGTGACACACACACAGTGACACACACACAGTGATAGACACACACAGTGATAGACACACACACACAGTGACACACACACACAGTGACACACAACAACAACAACAACAACCGCCATTCGCCACTAAGTGGCGGTGACGTCACCACGACGCTTGTGCCAGGCTATGTGCACCCTGAGGCCATGTGAAGTGTCGAACGCCCGCTGGCAGGAGGTCACGGGGCAGACCCAGGTGCCACGGGTCGACTGACTGAGATGACTGGCTGATGCACCACCTGTGCCCCCTACTGTGCCAACCTGCTGTGCTTTAGCCACCCGGCGCTCCGCTCGCTGTTGTGAGCGTCGCTCCTCCGCCCTCCGTTGTTGTTGGAGGGCGACTGCCTCCAACTGCCCAGTAGCATCCTTCACGAGCCTCCTCCACAGAGGCCGATCTTGACACCGCTGGTACCAGTCATCGGCAAGTCCACTCAGCTCCACGTCCTCCTGTACCACATCACTCCATCTCTTCTCTAGCCCGTGCCGCGCCCGCTTAGCCCCCTCAATCCGGCCAAACAAAAGCTGTTTCGGCATGCGGTGGCTGGGCATGCGGGCTACATGACCCAGCCATCGCAGCCTTGCCTGCCGGAGGAGCTCACCGATGGGACCCTGCCCAGATCTTTCAAGGATTTGTGAGCTCCTCACACAATCCAGTCTGGTTAAACGCAGGATGGATCGTAGGCAGGTCAGCCTAAATGTTTCTAACCGGCGAAGATGTTCCATTAGGGGGGTCCACGTTTCGCAAGCGTAGAGAAGGGAGGGAATGACCGTGGCCGAGAAGACCTGAAGCTTAGTGCGGAGCGACAGACCAGGTAGCTTCCACACAGCGTTACGCAACCGATGAAAAGATATTGCCGCTCGACTGATTCGGAGTGAGACCTCTGCTGTTAAACTGGAGCCAGTCATAAGCACACTGCCCAGGTATGGGAAACTCTCCACTCTCTCCACAACTGCCCCATCACCGATTGGGAGTTGTGGGGGTGGAGTGTCCGATGGTACAAAATACCCAGGCAGGTGCTTAGTTTTGGTGGGGCTGATGGTAAGGCCCCACCTCTTAGTGGCACGCTCCAGTCTCAGCAGCAGCGTCTCCAACTCCTCCTCTGACTGAGCAGCTATTACCAAGTCATCAGCATACATAACGTGGTTGAGCAATAGGGAGCCATCCCTTGACCGCACCCGGGCATCGATTAGCCTCCCATTATATCTGTACCATATGGAGATTCCCCCGGTACAGCTATTGAAGGCTTCACGAACTACGTGGTCAAAATAGATGTTAAATAATGTGGGAGCCAGAGGACATCCCTGTCGCACCCCAAGGTGTACAGGGAATGGCTCTGACTCCCGGCCACGTGGTTTTACCCGGGCCCGCTCACCATCATGAAGGTCCTTAATGATCGTGAGCAGAGGGTCAGGTACTCCAAAAGCACGAAGAACGACCCAGAGCCCAGGCCTACTGATGGTATCATAGGCCTTGACCAGGTCAATAAAGCAGAGATGTAGGTCTTGTTGGAATTCCCTACACCTCTGCTGTAGCAGACGGACAGAAAATATGGCATCTGTGCAGGACCGCCCTTTCCTGAAACCGCATTGGGGCTCCGCAAGCCTCTCCTCAGCGTGCCTGGCAAGGCGATGCTGAATAATCCTTGCCAGGACCTTTCCCGGCACACTGAGGAGTGAGATGCCCCTGTAGTTGTTACAGTCTGTGCGGTCCCCCTTCTTAAAAAGGGGGACCACCAGGGCATCCTTCCAATCCTGCGGAACCCGTCCAGTGGTCCAGACTGTTGTTATGATGTCATATAGGGCAGTCTGTGCACAAACGCCACCCTCCCTCAGCATTTCGCTTGGGAGATCATCTCTGCCCGCTGCCTTTCCTGGTCTCAGACTCCGGATCGCCTTCAATACTTCCTCAGCAGATGGCACCTCAGCCAGCCACTCACAGGGGGTGACTTCATCCAATATTTGAGGCACCGCAGCCTCAGCAGGGTCATCCTCACTTTGTGCCACGATGTTTTCCTGGCTGAGGGATTTTCCCTCCCCCAGGACCTCACAGAAATGCTCAGCAAATCTGCGAACCTGTTCCTGGGGGTCGGAAATTGGATCACCGTTTTTTCCCCTAATGATGGTAATAGGTGTGGCGCTGCAGGTTACTTTTTTGATGGAGTTAAATAGCGATTTGTGATCACGGGCCACTGAGGCAGACTCCATCTCCTCAGCAACCCGCGACCACCACCCATCCTTGCAGCGCCTCACGGCTCTCCGAACCTCCGAGCGAAGGCTGCGGTAAGCCTCCTCATTCTCTGACGTGGGATTCTGTAGCCGATGACAGTGGGCCTGCCGCTTTTTCTCAACCATCCTGAACACCTCCTCTGTCAGCCAGGGTCTCTGGGGAGGTCTGGACCGCGTACCCAAAGCAGCCAATGCAGCTGCATGAGTGGCAGTCCTAAACCTCGCCCATTTAACCTCGACATCAGGAGGAGTGGGGGACGATGCCAACCCCAGCCGCAGGCGATGATGAAATTCTCACTTGCAACTTTCACCAGATAACTGAGACCATGCCACTAAGGGTTTGAATGGGGTCCTGGGTGTACACCCACCACTGGAGTGGAAGAATGGCAGGCGCATCTTACAGATCACAAGTCGATGGTCAGAGGGCAGATCAGCTCCACGGTAGGTCCTGGTGTCAAGGACATGGGCTCGCATCCGCTGGTCTGTCACTATGTAGTCCAGCAGATGTTCTTGCTTGGACCCGGCATGCATCCATGATGTTGTGTGGATATGCCGATGCTGGAACAGCGTGTTGTTAATTACAAGTCCATGGGCTGCACAAAAATCTAGCAGCCTCCTACCGTTGTTATTGAGCTGATCTGGCCCATGCCCTTCAATCACTCCAGGCCAGGTGCCAGCATCATGACCAACTCGGGCATTGAAGTCACCCAACAAGATGACACACACACACAGTGACAGACACACAGTGACAGACACACAGTGATAGACACACACACAGTGATAGACACACAGTGATAGACACACAGTGATAGACACAGTGATAGACACACACACACACAGTGATAGAGTCTACGGGTCTCTGTGTGGTGATGAGTCTACGGGTCTATGCGTCAATGATGAGTCTATGGGTCTCTGTGTGAGTGATGAGTCTACGGATCTCTGTGTGAGTGATGAGTCTACAGGTCTCTGTGCGAGTCATGAGTCTACGGGTCTCTCTGTTTGAGTGATGAGTCTATGGGTCTATGTGTCAGTGATGAGTCTATGTGTCTCTGTGTGGTGATGAGTCTATGGGTCTCTGTGTGGTGATGAGTCTATGGGTCTCTGTGTGAGTGATGAGTCTATGGGTCTCTGTGTGAGTGATGAGTCTATGGGTCTCTGTGTAGTAGTGAGTCTATAGGTCTCTGTGTGAGTGATGAGTCTACGGGTCTCTGTGTGTGAGTGATGAGTCTATGGGTCTATGTGTGAGTGATGAGTCTATGGGTCTATGTGTGAGTGATGAGTCTACGGTTCTCTGTGTGAGTGATGAGTCTATGGGTCTCTGTGTGAGTGATGAGTCTATGGGTCTCTGTGTGAGTGATGAGTCTATGGGTCTCTGTGTAGTAGTGAGTCTATAGGTCTCTGTGTGAGTGATGAGTCTACGGGTCTCTGTGTGTGAGTGATGAGTCTATGGGTCTATGTGTGAGTGATGAGTCTATGGGTCTATGTGTGAGTGATGAGTCTATGGGTCTATGTGTGAGTGATGAGTCTATGGGTCTCTGTGTGAGTGATGAGTCTATGGGTCTATGTATGAGTGATGAGTCTATGGGTCTATGTGTGAGTGATGAGTCTATGGGTCTCTGTGTGAGTGATGAATCTATGGGTCTCTGTATTGTGATGAGTCTATGGGTCTCTGTGTGGTGATAAGTCTATGGGTCTCTGTGTGGTGGTGATGAGTCTATGGGTCTCTGTATTGTGATGAGTCTATGGGTCTCTGTGTGAGTGATGAGTCTATGGGTCTCTGTGTGAGTGATGAGTCTATGGGTCTCTGTATTGTGATGAGTCTATGGGTCTCTGTGTGAGTGATGAGTCTACGGGTCTCTCTGTTTGAGTGATGAGTCTATGGGTCTATGTGTCAGTGATGAGTCTATGTGTCTCTGTGTGGTGGTGAGTCTATGGGTCTCTGTGTGAGTGATGAGTCTACGGGTCTCTCTGTGTGAGTGATGAGTCTATGGGTCTATGTGTCAGTGATGAGTCTATGTGTCTCTGTGTGGTGATGAGTCCATGGCTCTCTGTGTGAGTGATGAGTCTACGGGTCTCTGTGTGAGTGATGAGTCTATGGGTCTATGTGTGAGTGATGAGTCTACGGGTCTCTGTGTAGTAGTGAGTCTATAGATCTCTTTCTCTCTCTGTCTCTCTCTCTCCGTCTCTCTCTCTCTCTCCGTCTCTCTCACCAGAGAGGCAGTGCATGAAAGCCAGCGCGGCCATGGCCCCGGCGAACACCGTCATCCGGTTGTAGCGCATGGCCATGATGGCGGCGATGAAGAAGGTCTTGTCCCCCAGCTCCGACACGACGATCACCGAGAGCGAAGCGACCACGGCGTGCAGGAAGCCCACGTCGCCGCCGGCATCGACTCGGGATACGGCGGACAGCGGCTCATGCTCCTTCGCCTCTTCCGCCGGTGCAGCCCCTGCCCCGACCAACGCATCCGGCTGGGCGGCGCCGTCTAGCGGCGCCCCATTGTTGTGCAGCCTGTGGCCCGGTGACGAGGCTGCGGCTGGCCCATCCTGGAAGATGCGGAGCCGGAGGGGAGGAGAGGGACGTGATGGCAACTCCACCATCACCGCCTCAGGCCACCAGCTCCATCACCGCAACCACCGCCTACCATCATTACAGCCGCCACCACCGCCATCACTACAGCCACCACCTCCATCACCACAACCACCAGCTCCATCACTACAGCCACCACCTCCATCACCAACAACCACCAGCTCCATCACTACAGCCACCACCTCCATCACCAACAACCACCACCTCCATCACCACAACCACCATCTCCATCACCACAACCACCACCTCCATCACTACAGCCACCACCTCCATCACCACAACCACCACCACCTCCATCACTACAACCACCACCTCCATCACTACAGCCACCACCTCCATCACAAGAGCCACCGCCTCCATCACTACAACCACCTCCATTACTACAACCACCACCTCCATCACTACAACCACCACCTCCATCACTATAACCACCACCTCCATCACTACAACCACCTCCATCACTACAACCACCTCCATCACTACAACCACCACCTCCATCACTACAACCACCACCTCCATCACTACAACCACCTCCATCACCACAACCACCACCTCCATCACCACAACCACCAGCTCCATCACTACAACCACCACCTCCATCACTACAGCCACCACCTCCACCACTACAACCACCACCTCCATCACTACAGCCACCACCTCCACCACTACAGCCACCACCTCCATCACTACAGCCACCACCTCCATCACTACAACCACCACCTCCATCACTACAGCCACCACCTCCATCACTACAACCACCACCTCCATTACTACAGCCACCACCTCCATCACTACAACCACCACCTCCATCACCACAACCACCTCCATTACTACAACCACCACCTCCATCACTACAACCACCACCTCCATCACTACAACCACCACCTCCATCACTACAACCACCACCTCCATCACCACAACCACCACCACCTCCATCACTACAACCAGCACCTCCATCACTACAGCCATCACCTCCATCACTACAGCCACCGCCTCCATCACTACAACCACCTCCATTACTACAACCACCACCTCCATCACTACAACCACCACCTCCATCACTACAACCACCACCTCCATTACCACAACCACCACCTCCATCACCACAACCACCACCTCCATCACTACAACCACCACCTCCATCACCACAACCACCACCTCCATCACCACAACTACCACCTCCATCACTACAACCACCACCTCCATCACTACAACCACCAGCTCCATCACTACAACCACCACCTCCATCACTACAACCACCACCTCCATCACCACAACCACCACCTCCATCACCACAACCACCACCTCCATCACCACAGCCACCACCTCCATCCCTACAACCACCACCACCACTACAGCCACCACCTCCATCACCACAACCACCACCTCCATCACTACAGCCACCACCTCCATCACCACAACCACCACCTCCATCACTACAACCACCACCACCTCCATCACTACAACCACCACCTCCACCACTACAGCTACCACCTCCATCACCACAACCACCACCTCCATCACCACAACCACCACCACCTCCATCACTACAACCACCACCACCTCCATCACTACAACCACCACCTCCATCACCGCAACCACCACCACCTCCATCACTACAACCACCACCACCTCCATCACTACAACCACCACCTCCACCACTACAGCCACCACCTCCATCACCACAACCACCACCTCCATCACTACAGCCACCACCTCCATCACCACAACCACCACCTCCATCACTACAACCACCACCTCCATCACTACAACCACCACCACCTCCATCACTACAACCACCACCTCCACCACTACAGCCACCACCTCCATCACCACAACCACCACCTCCATCACTACAACCACCACCTCCATCACCACAACCACCACTTCCATCACTACAACCACCACCTCCACCACTACAACCACCACCTCCATCACCTCCATCACTACAACCACCACCACCTCCATCACCACAACCACCACCACCACCACCTCCATCACCACAACCACCACCACCTCCATCACTACAACCACCACCTCCATCACCACAACCACCACCTCCACTACCTCCATCACTACAACCACCACCACCTCCATCACCACAACCACCACCACCTACATCACCACAACCACCACCACCTCCATCACTACAACCACCACCTCCATCACCACAACCACCACCTCCACTACCTCCATCACTACAACCACCACCACCTCCATCACCACAACCACCACCTCCATCACCTACATCACTACAACCACCACCACCTCCATCACCACAACCACCACCTCCACCACTACAACCACCACCTCCATCGCCACAACCACCACCACCATCACTACAACCACCACCTCCATCACCACAACCACCACTTCCATCACTACAACCACCACCTCCACCACTACAACCACCACCTCCATCACCTCCATCACTACAACCACCACCACCTCCATCACCACAACCACCACCACCACCTCCATCACCACAACCACCACCACCTCCATCACTACAACCACCACCTCCACTACCTCCATCACTACAACCACCACCACCTCCATCACCACAACCACCACCACCTCCATCACCACAACCACCACCACCTCCATCACTACAACCACCACCTCCATCACCACAACCACCACCTCCACTACCTCCAGATGTTGGCCCGCGAGGTGGAGGAGAGCAGCAATTAAGATTGCAAACAGGGTGGGTGCAACGACGCAGCCCTCTTTAACCCCCCCCCCCCCCCCGCCACCCGGTTTCCACCTTCAAGGGTTCAGTTTCTGCACCACCGTTACCGATCATTGTCACCGATCATTGTCACCGATCATTGTCACCGATCATTGTCACCGATCATTGTTTCCATGCAGCAGACGCAGTGCCCGAGTGAATTTGTCATGGGCAGCCGATTTATTTTCACACGCTTTCATTTCACTCACTCTGTCTGTTGTTGCGGTTGTTGTTGTTGTTGTCGCTGTTTTATCCTCAAATCTTGTAACTAAATTTTAACCCACTTCCCAATGTGGTATCGACTGCAAACTTGGTATACTTATGTCATTACTGATGACAATACTATATTCTATCATAACAAAATATATATTTTTGTAAACATTATTTTTTTTGTTATGCTTCGGCATGGGTCTAATTGTCCACGCTCAACTCACGTTGGCTGCAAAACACCACGGTCCCTTACGCTGTGGCAAAGCTTCGGGGCCACTTCCTGGAGTCGTGGAGTTCTGCCATTACTCGTACGGTACATTTCATTAAAGCGTGTTTTTAAAAAAAACAAGTTTAAAAAAAAATTACTTATTAACAGAATCAGCCAGACGGCACGATGGCCGTCCACAGAGTCGAAGGCCTTCGTGAGGGCCTAAATTATCAAGCGGTTGCTTTTGCTCCCCGGAGTTTCTCTCGCGGTCGTCGTCGTCGACGTCGTACCACCGTCAAAATCATTTGTCTGCTTGCGCCTCTGGAATGGGCGAACTACAACCACCTCCATGTGATCCGGGGAGGATTTCTTCCGGCAGCGGTAGCAGTCGGTAAACCAGGTCAGGCGGGTAGAAGTATTTTCCCGGATGGACAGGCAGGAGATGCCTCTGTAAGTTTCCACAATCTGCCCTGTCCCGCTTTTTTAAAGACGGCAACAATCAGCAGGGGGGCATCTCTGAGTTCCGTGGGGGGGGGGGGGGTCTCCTCCTTGTGCGAGACCTTCAGGAGAAGAGGCATTGTACGTGGGCGGCGTAAGAGCTCCGACCCGCATTCTTCTAAAGTTTCTCCCGGAATGCCATCAGCACCAGCGGCATTGCTATTTCTTATCTCCCCCATGGTGTCTTGTTACCTCCCGCATGCCGCTTGGTTCTCTCAACGTTCTCTATTGCGGATCACCGAGGGATTCGGTCGATGGCCTCCATCTCCAATGGGTCCGCACTTCGGTTGACGAGTCCTACGGAAGTATTACGGAGTTCTCTCTCCACCAGGATTTGGTAGATTCATCATCCCTCGGCGGCTTTTGCCTCTCCCACGGTGCCCGGGTTCCCCCGGGGCTGCCTTGGTGGCATCGAAGAAGCCTCTCCTCTGGTATCGGTCGGAGTCGGCCAAGCTGCCCAATCTCCGGGGGCTTTTCCCAACCCTGTGAGTCCAGGGTTGGGGCATGGGGCCACTCACAGCTGTGGTCATTTTTTCCTTTTCAAGCTTCAGACGGACGATCACGAGGGGTTCACCGACGCCCACGGGCAGTTCAGAGAGGTGGCTGATGAGTCTGCTCTTAATCAGCGGAACCCGGGTTCATCATCGGCTGGTTTAACCTTTCCAAAAGGAGATGCAACAGCCACCTGTCTCCTCCTTCAGCTGCCGGTGGGGCTTCAGAGGGCGCAGCGGAGCGACGCCATTCCGAAATCTTCGCGGTTCTCTTGCGACGATCGCGGTTTGTCTCTCAAAGTCCCGATCACCGGTTGCATCGTCCTCGTCAGGGCTCGCACGTCCCACGCTCCAAAACGTACCTTTTTTGTTTTGTTTTGTGACCGCAGAGAGGCGATTCCCCGCTTGGATGCGGCAAACCAGCCGGGAGTTACGAGGCAGCCAATTTTCAGGGCACCTTTTCCAACCCCTTCCCCTACCGGGGGTGAGCAGGGCGGGATCCTAAAAAGGGCTGCTAGGTCACGGGGTGCACAGCCTAAAACGCTTTCGCCTTACCTCTCTCCCCCAAGCAAGAAGACCGAATCAAAACGCCCACCCGCCTGCTTTTGCCACTTCCCGGGGCCAGGAGCTGCCAGACGGTCACCGCCCTGCTCCCGTGACCATTCTCCGATCGCCACGGGGCTCTGAATCCTAGGACGTGCAACAGTCTGTCCCCATTCTTAGAGGACGCCTGCTGCTCGTGACAACTTGCTCACACGTGGCGGGAGACCGACGCACGGGCAGAGGCTACCGCACGGTCCTATGGCAGAGGGGCACCTGGGTCCAGTGGCACGGAGGCCACGTCGATTGGCGACCTCTCTCTCTCTCTCTGTGTGTTGCCGTAGCAGCCCTCCGCCGCCTTCACAACCGTCGTGGCGTTGCCGTCAGCTTCCGCCCGCTCCGCCGTTGAGGTTTTTGTTGGGATCGCGCTTCGTCTGGAAACCTCGCCCCCTTCACCTTACCGCCATGGGTGACCCTACCAGGAGCTTAGGCCCACACGAGTGGCCAAGCTCCGTACGGCATCGTTCTTGGGATCTCAGGAACGCACGCGAGCTTCTTCACCACGGCCTCTTATACTTGGATCCTTGGATAAGAGGCGAGGGAGTTGACATTTACCTAGCCACCATGGTGTCAGGGTCAGGATAGAACCCACGACCTCCTGTGTACCAGGCGAGGGAGTTGACATCTACGTAGCCACCGTGGTGTCAGGGTCAGGACAGAACCCACGACCTCCTGTGTACCAGACGAGGTAGCTAACATCTACGTAGCCACCGTGGTGTCAGGGTCAGGACAGAACCCACGACCTCCTGTGTACCAGGCGAGGGAGTTGACATCTACGTAGCCACCGTGGTGCAGGTTCAGGGCACAACCCACGACCTCCTGTGTACCAGGCGAGGTAGCTAACATCTACGTAGCCACCGTGGTGTCAGGGTCAGGACAGAACCCACAACCTCCTGTATACCAGGCGAGGTAGTTAACATCTACATAGCCACCATGGTGTCAGGGTCGGGATCGAACCCGCGACCTCCTGAATACCAGGTGAGGTAGTTAATATATTTAGTCACCGTGATGATGATGATAGAGAGAGACATGCAGACTCCAAATATACAAGCGTCAGGGTCAGGATCCAACCCATTACCTCCTCTACACCAGGCGAGGTAGTTAACATCTACATAGCCACCGTGGTGTCAGGGTCGGTATCGAACCCAGACAATCCCCACCCCCAATCACGCAGGGCATGGTGGCAGAGTCCACATACACACAGAGAAAAGCCATTCACACCCCTACAAACCCTATCATTACACTCCCACGGGGCTCTGTGTTAATCACTGAGACTCGCAGAGCCAGACTAAGGCTCCCACAGGGTACAGTATTAATCACTGAGACTCACAGAGCCAGACAAAGGCTCCCATAGGGTACAGTATTAATCACTGAGACTCGCAGAGCCAGAGTAGGGCTCCCACAGAGTGCAGTGTTAATCACTGAGCTCCCACAGGGTTCAGTGTTAATCACAGAGACTCACAGAGCCAGACTAAGGCTGCCATATGGTTCAGCATTAATTACCGAGACTCAGAGCCAGACTAAGGCTCCCCATAGGGTTGAATGTTAATCATTGAGGCTCAGAGCCAGACTAAGGCTCCCCATAGGGTTGAATGTTAATCATTGAGGCTCAGAGCCAGACTAAGGCTTCCCATAGAGTTCAATGTTAATTATTGAGCTCCCATAGGGCTCAGTGTTAATCACTGAGACTCACAGAGCCAGACTAAGACTCCCACAGGGTTCAAGGTTAATCACTGAGACTTGCAGAGCCAGACTAAAGCTCCCACAGGGTTCAGTGTCAATTACTGAGACTCACAGATCCAGACTAAGACTCCCACAGGGTTCAGTGTTAATCACTGAGACTCACAGAGCCAGACTAAGGCTCCCACAGGGTTCAGTGTCAATTACTGAGACTCACAGAGCCAGACAAAGGTTCCCACAGGGTTCAGTGTTAATCACTGAGACTCGCAGAGCCAGACTAAAGCTCCCACAGGGTTCAGTGCTAATCACTGAGACTCACAGAGCCAGACTAAGGCTCCCACAGGGTTCAGTGTCAATTACTGAGACTCACAGAGCCAGACTAAAGCTCCCATAGGGTTCAGTGTTAATTACTGAGACTCGCAGAGCCAGACTAAGGCTCCCACAGGGTTCAGTGTTAATTACTGAGACTCGCAGAGCCAGACTAAGGCTCCCACAGGGTTCAGTGTTAATCACTGAGACTCACAGAGCCAGACTAAGGCTCCCACAGGGTTCAGTGTTAATCACTGAGACTCACAGAGCCAGACTAAGGCTCCCACAGGGTTCAGTGTCAATTACTGAGACTCACAGAGCCAGACTAAGACTCCCACAGGGTTCAGTGTTAATCACTGAGACTCACAGAGCCAGACTAAGGCTCCCACAGGGTTCAGTGTCAATTACTGAGACTCACAGAGCCAGACTAAGGTTCCCACAGGGTTCAGTGTTAATTACTGAGACTCGCAGAGCCAGACTAAGACTCCCACAGGGTTCAGTGCTAATCACTGAGACTCACAGAGCCAGACTAAGGCTCCCACAGGGTTCAGTGTCAATTACTGAGACTCACAGAGCCAGACTAAAGCTCCCATAGGGTTCAGTGTTAATTACTGAGACTCGCAGAGCCAGACTAAGGCTCCCACAGGGTTCAGTGTTAATTACTGAGACTCGCAGAGCCAGACTAAGGCTCCCACAGGGTTCAGTGTTAATCACTGAGACTCACAGAGCCAGACTAAGGCTCCCACAGGGTTCAGTGTTAATCACTGAGACTCACAGAGCCAGACTAAGGCTCCCACAGGGTTCAGTGTTAATCACTGAGACTCACAGAGTCAGACTAAGGCTCCCACAGGGTTCAGTGTTAATCACTGAGACTCACAATAGGTTTCAGTGTTAATCACTGAGACCCGCAGAGCCAGACAAAGGCTCCCCATAGGGTCCAATGTTAATCAGTGAGGATCACAAAACCAGACTAAGGCTCCCCATAGGTCTCAGTGTTAATAACTGAGACTCAAAGAGTGAATGACAAAGTGAATCCGTGACTGAGTTACCGAGCGAATGATTGAGCAACTAAGTGAGTGACTGAACAACTGAGTGATTGATTGAGTGATTTAGTGAATTAGTGACTGAGTGATCGACAGAGTGACTGCATGAGTGACTCAGTGAATGACTGAGCAACTGAATTAATGACTGAATGAGTGACAGAGTGAGCGACTAAGTGAGTGACTTACTAAATGACTGTGAGTGACTAAATTAATCACTGAATGAGTGACTGAGTGAATGACTGTGTGAAAGTGTGACAGTGACTGACTGAGTGTCCGAGTGATTGACTGAGTGAATGAGTGAGTAACTGAGTGGCTGACTGAGTGTGTGAATGAGTACGTTAGTGACTGATTGAGTGAGTGGCTGGGTGAATGACCGAGTGACTGTATGAATGAGTGAGTTAGTGACTGATTGAGTGAATGACTGAGTGAATGACTGAGTCTGTGACTGAGTGAGTGGTTGAGTGAATGACTGAGTGAGTGACTGTGTGAATGAGTGACTGAGTGACTCAGTGACTGAGTGGCTTAGTGAATGACTGAGTGGGTGACTGTGTGAATGAGTGAGTGACTGAGTGACTATCTGATTGAGTGGCTGAGTGAATGTCTGAGTGAGTGACTGAATGAGTGACTGAGTGAATGACAGTGTGAATGACTGAATGAGTGACTGAGTGAATGACAGTGTGAATGAATGACTGAATGAGTGACTGAGTGAATGACAGTGTGAATGACTGAATGAATGACAGTGTGAATGACTGAATGAATGACTGAGTGAATGACTGAGTGAATGACTGAATGAGTGACTGAGTGAATGACAGTGTAAATGAGTGAATGAATGACTGAGTGAGGGAGCGAGTCGTTCCCACCTTAACTTCGTTCCTCGCCTCCTGCGGCACCGCTGTAGCGAATGCGACGAGGAGGAGCACGAGGAAGAGGTGGAGGAGGAGGTGAGGGGCCGAGTGGCTGCCGGACCACCGCATGGTCGCATGCGACGCGGCTACAACGTCCAGGCGACGTTCGGGTTGACGTTCGAATGTTCAAGGCGACGTTCGGGCGACGTTCGGGTTGACGTTCGGGTTGACGTTCGAAAGTTCAAGGAGACGTTCGGGCGACTTTCGTGTTGACGTTCGGGATGACGTTCGGGTTGACGTTCGAAAGTTCAAAGAGACGTTCGGGTTGACGTTCGAATGTTCAATGAGACGTTCGGGCGAGTAGCGTCAAAGCCAACGACGTCAAAGGAAAGTCAAAAAGCAACGTTCAAGCAACGTCGGAGGAATGTCCCCGCAACGTCAAAAGCGACGTCCAGGAAAGGTCAAAGGAATGTCCGGGAAACTTCAAAGGCAACGTCAAAGCAACGTCCAGGCAACGTCCAGCCAACGTCCAAGCACCGATCAACGTCCGGGAAACGTCCAGACGACGTCCAGGCGACGTCCAAGCACCGATCAACGTTCAGCCAACGTTCATGCAACGTTCAGCCAACGTTCAGCCAACGTTCATGCAACGTCCAGCCGACGTCCAAGCAGCGATCAACGTCCAGCCAGCGTCCAAGCACCGATGAACGTCCAGTCAACGTCCAGGCGACGTCTCCTTCGCTCTCGCTGCGAGTCGCCGCTAGCACGCCGGTCTACTACGGGCATCCATGTTGTCACTACCGGGGGGGAGGCGCAGGGGGATGACGACAACGGCTGAGGGGGGGGGGCGACGAGAGTCAACCAGCGGCCATCTTAAGTGGGGGGAGGTGCGTTTAAAACGATGTCAATGGGAAGCGGCCATCTTACGTAGGGGCGGGGGATTTTTTTGTTCGCTACGCGAGTCGATGTCAAGCGGCCATCTTACGTGGGTGTTCAGATTAAGAAAGTGAACGGGAAGCGGTCATTTTACGTAGGGGTGGTGGTTAACGCGAGTCGATGGCAGGCGGCCATCTTGCGTAGGGAGAATTTACGCTGGTCGATAAGAGCGGCCATCTTGGGTGAGGTGGTTTATGCCGCAAAGACGACAAGAGCGGCCATCTTAGGTCGGGGAAATGTATACCGTAAATCAATGCGGGTGGGCATCTTACGTAGGGGGAATTTACAACACAAAATCGATAGGAGCGGCCATCTTGGGTAGGGAGAGGATTGCAAAGCATCACGGTGGCGAGATGTTAACTACCTGTCCTGGTCTACAGGAGTACGTGGGTTCGACCCCGACCCTGATGAGATGTTGACTACCTCGCCTGGTATACAGGAGGTTGTGGGTTCAATCTCGACCCTGCGAGATGTTGACTACCTCGCCTGGCCTACAGGAGGTCGTGGGTTCAATCTCGACCCTGATGAGATTTTGACTACCTCGCCAGGTCTACAGGTCGTGGGTTCAATCTCGACCCTGCGAGATGTTGACTACCTCGCCTGGTATACAGGAGGGCGTGGGTTCGACCCCGACCCTGAAATGTTGACGACCTCGCCTGGTCTACAGGAGGTCGTGGGTTCGACCCCGACCCTGCGAGATGTTGACTACCTCACCTGGTACGCAGGAGGGCGTGGGTTCCATCCTGGACCGTACCTAGGGGAGGCCCAGGACCAGTTCAGATGATCGTCGCTGGTGTTGGCCAAGAGCGGGAATCGAACTCAGGTCACGAAGGGCTGCACCACTGCTCCCCACTATCATGACCACTACCTTTAACATGACCACCATCACCACAACCACCACCATCATGACCACTACCCTCCAACATGACCACCATCACCACAACCACCACCACCATCATGATCACTACCCTCCAACATGACCACCATCACCACAACCACCACCACAATCATGACCACCACCTCCAACATGACCACCATCACTATGACCACCACCTCCAACATGACCACCATCACCACAACCACCATGACCACTACCCTCCAACATGACCACCATCACCACAACCACCATCATGACCACTACCCTCCAACATGACCACCATCACCACAACCACCACAACCACCATCATGACCACTACCTTTAACATGACCACCATCACCACAACCACCACAACCACCATCATGACCACCACCTCCAACATCACCACAACCACCACCACCATGGTGGCTAGACGGTGGAGGTGTTTGTATTGTGGGGAGCGGTGGTGTAGCGCTTAGCGACCAGCGACGATTATCTGAACCGGTCCTGGGCCTCCCCTAGGTTGACTCAGACTAAAAAAATAGTTACATGGTGCAGTGGTGTGTAAACATCGCCACAGGGGAGAGACAAAGGTGGCCGAGCATGGTGCTGGCCACCCACCCCCTCTGTGTTCGCCAGTGGCTGGCCTTAGTAGGTCGCTCGCTAACAGCACTTGCCCCGAACAGCCCTGTTAGAGGCTATGCGGGGGGTCTTTGTCTTACGAGCGTATTGAGGGGAGCGGTGGTGCAGCGGTTAGCACCCTGTGCTGCGCAACGAACCCGCCTCTCACCAGAGTTGGATTCCCACTCAAGGCCACCAACACCCAGTGAGTGGGATTATCTGAACGGGTTCTGGGCCTCCTCTAGGCACGGTCTGGGATCCAACCCACGTCCTCCTGCGTACCAGGCGAGGTAGTCAACATCTCGTCAGGGTCGGGAATCGAGCCCACGTCCTCCTGCGTACCGGGCGAGGTAGTCAACATCTCGTTAGGGTCCAGGATCGAATCCAAGATCGCCTGTGTACTAGGCGATGTAGTCAACATCTCATTAGGGTCAGGATCGAACCCACGTCCTGTGTACCAGGTGAGGTAGTCAACATCTCATTAGGGTCAGGATCGAACCCACGTCCTCTTGTGTACTAACTAGGTGAGGTAGTCAACATCTCATTAGGGTCAGGATCGAACCCACATCCTCCTGTGTACCAGGTGAGGTAGTCAACATCTCGTTAGGGTCCAGGATCGAATCCAAGATCGCCTGTGTACTAGGCAAGGTAGTCAACATCTCATTAGGGTCAGGATCGAACCCACGTCCTCTTGTGTACTAACTAGGTGAGGTAGTCAACATCTCATTAGGGTCAGGATCGAACCCACGTCCTCCTGTGTACCAGGCGAGGTAGTCAACATCTCATTAGGGTCAGGATCGAACCCACATCCTGTGTACCAGGTGAGGTAGTCAACATCTCATTAGGGTCAGGATCGAAGCCACGTCCTCCTGTGTACCAGGCGAGGTAGTCAACATCTCATTAGGGTCAGGATCGAACCCACATCCTGTGTACCAGGCGAGGTAGTCAACATCTCATTAGGGTCAGGATCGAACCCACGATCTCCTGCGTACCAGGTGAGGTAGTCAACATCTCGTTAGGGTTCAGGATCGAATCCAAGATCGCCTGCGTACTAGGTGAGTTAGTCAACATATCACAAGGTTCAGGCATTGCACCCACTACTTACTGTGTACCAGGCGAGGTAGTCAACATCTACATAGCCACCGTGGTGTCAGGGTCGGGATCAAACCCAGACAATCCCCACCCCCAATCACGCAGGGCATGGTGGCAGTCCACATACACACAGAGAGAAGCCATTCACTCGAGCCCATGTCCTCCTGCGTACCAGGCGAGGTAGTTAATATCTCACAGGGTCTAGGATCGAACCCACAACCTCCTACCTACCAGGCAAGGTAGTTAACATATCACAGGGTTCAGGCATCACACCCACTACTTACTGCGTACCAGGTGAGGTAGTTAACATCTAAAAGGGTTCCGCGATCAAACCCGCGACCTCCTGCGTACCAGGTGAGGTAGTTAATATCTTACGGGGTCTAGAATCGAACCCACAACCCCCTGCGTACCAGGCAAGGTAGTTAACATCTCATCAGGGACGAGATCGAACCCACAATCTCCTGCGTAACCAGATGAGATAGTCAACATCTCACAGAATTCCGAGATCGAATCCATGACCTCCTGCGTACCAGGCGAGGTAGTTAACATCTCATCAGGGATGAGATCTAACCCACAATCTCCTGCGTACAAGGTGAGGTAGTCAACATCTCATCAGGGTCGGGATCGAACCCACGACCTGTGTACCTGGCGAGGTAGTCAACATATCGCAGGATTCAGGCATCGCACCCACGACCTCCTGCGTACCGGGCGAGGTAGTCAACATCTCACAGGACGTCCGAGCCATCTATTTATTTAATAAAATAACAACAACACAACAGAACCGCCCACACCACCACCGTCACACAAATAACCACTTTACATAGCCCACGCTGAACAACCGGCGTCCTGTATTTAACCACGTTCTGTATGTAACCACGTCCTGTATTTAACCACGTCCTGTATTTAACCATTGAGATTGGCCATCCCTTGATGTTTGGTGCTCTCCCTCCCTTCGGATTGCTTTCTCAAAGTCGCTTCTCGACATTCGTGGATCCCTGCAAAGAGAACAGTGGGAGGGTGCATGAGTGGGTGGTTGACTGAGTGGTTGAGTGGGTGAATGAGTGGGTGGGCGAGTGGGTGGGCGAGTGGGTGGGCAAGTGGGTGGGCGAGTGGGTGGGCGAGTGGGTGGGTGAGTGGGTGCGTGGGTGGACGAGTGGGTGGGCGAGTGAGCGAGTATTTAAGTGAGTGGGTGAATGAGCGGTGAGTGTTTGAGTGAGTGGGTGGGAGTCAGTGGATGAGTGGGTGAATGAGTGGGTGGGTTGACCGAGTGGTTGAGTGAGTATTTTAGTGAGTGCTTGAATGAGGCGTTTTGTGAGTAGTTGAGTGTTGTGGTGAACAGTTTGGTGAATGCGTGAGTATGAGTGAGTGAGAGTATGAGTGAGTGTGTGAGTGAGCGGGTGATTGGTTGAATGATTGAGTGGGCGAGTGGGTTGGTGAGTGGTTGAATGGGTGAGTGAGTGTGCGAGTGGGTTGGTGAGTGGTTGAATGAGAGAGTGTGTGAGTGGGTTGGTGAGTGGTTGAATGGGTGAGTGAGTGTGCGAGTGGGTTGGTGAGTGGTTGAATGGGTGAGTGTGAGAGTGGGTTGGTGAGTGGTTGAATGATTGAGTGTGCGAGTGGGTTGGTGAGTGGTTGAATGGGTGAGTGAGTGTGAGAGTGGGTTGGTGAGTGGTTGAATGATTGAGTGTGCGAGTGGGTTGGTGAATGGTTGAATAGGTGAGTGTGTGAGTGGGTTGGTGAGTGGTTGAATGGTTGAGTGTGCGAGTGGGTTGGTGAGTGGTTGAATGGGTGAGTGGGTTGGTGAGTGGTTGAATGGGTGAGTGAGTGAGCGAGTGGGTTAGTGATTGGTTGAATGAGTGAGTGTGCGAGTGGGTTGGTGAGTGGTTGAATGGGTGAGTGAGTGTGAGAGTGGGTTGGTGAGTGGTTGAATGATTGAGTGTGCGAGTGGGTTGGTGAATGGTTGAATGGGTGAGTGTGTGAGTGGGTTGGTGAGTGGTTGAATGGGTGAGTGTGCGAGTGGGTTGGTGAGTGGTTGAATGGGTGAGTGGGTTGGTGAGTGGTTGAATGGGTGAGTGAGTGAGCGAGTGGGTTAGTGATTGGTTGAATGAGTGAGTGTGCGAGTGGGTTGGTGAGTGGTTGAATGGGTGAGTGAGTGTGAGAGTGGGTTGGTGAGTGGTTGAATGATTGAGTGTGCGAGTGGGTTGGTGAATGGTTGAATGGGTGAGTGTGTGAGTGGGTTGGTGAGTGGTTGAATGGGTGAGTGTGCGAGTGGGTTGGTGAGTGGTTGAATGGGTGAGTGGGTTGGTGAGTGGTTGAATGGGTGAGTGAGTGAGCGAGTGGGTTAGTGATTGGTTGAATGAGTGAGTGTGCGAGTGGGTTGGTGAGTGGTTGAATGAGTGAGTGTGCGAGTGGGTTGGTGAGTGAGTGTGTGAGTGGGTTGGTGAGTGGTTGAATGAGTGAGTAAGTGTGCGAGTGGGTTGGTGAGTGGTTGAATGGGTGAGTGGGTTTGTGAGTGGTTGAATGGGTGAGTGAGTGTGCGAGTGGGTTGGTGAGTGGTTGAATGGGTGAGTGGGTGGTGAGTGGTTGAATGAGTGAGTATGCGAGTGGGTTGGTGAGTGGTTGAATGGGTGAGTGAGCAGGTGAGTGAGTGGGGAGAGTCTAACTCAGGATGTCTCACCTGGCGTGGTATCTCTCCCCCTCTCTCTGTGATCAACTCAGGCGATGAAGTCCAGGGGCCGGTTGAAGCCTCCCTTACGGTTCATGTATTGCCTGCAGGCACGGGAAAAGACAGAACTTAGAGACGGTGGGTGAGTGGGTAGGTGGGTGGGTGAGTGGGTAGGTGGGTGGGTAGGTGAGTGGGTGAGTGGGTAGGTGGGTGGGTAGGTGGGTGAGTGGGTGGAAAGGTGAGTGCGTGGGTGGGTGAGTGTGTGAGTGGGTGGGTGAGTGGGTGGGTGAGCGAGTGGGTGGGTTAGTGGGTGAGCGGGTGAGTGGGTGGATGATTAGGTGGGTGGGTGAGTGGGTGAGTGAGTGGGTGAGTGAGTGAGTGAGCGAGCAAATGAATGAGTGACTGGTTGGGTGGGTGAGTAAGTGAGTGGGTGAGTAAGTGAGTGGGTGACTAAGTGAGTGGGTGAGCCAGCGAGTGGGTGGGAAGGAAGGTGAGTGCGTGGATGGGTGAGTGTGTGAGTGGGTGATTAGGTGAGTAAGTGGGTGGGTGAGTGGGTGGGTTAGTGGGTGGGTTAGTGGGTGGGTGAGCGAGTGGGTGGGTTAGTGGGTGAGTGGGTGAGTGGGTGGATGATTAGGTGGGTGGGTGAGTGGGTGAGTGAATGGGTGAGTGAATGGGTGAGTGAGTAAGTGAGTGGGTGAGCCAGCGAGTGGGTGAGCCAGTGAGTGGGTGGGTGAGTGGACGAGTGGGTGGGTGAGTGGACGAGTGAGTGGGTGAGTAAGTGAGTGGGTGAGCCAGCGAGTGGGTGGGTGAGTGGACGAGTGAGTGCCGAGTGATTGGTGAGGGAGTGGTGAGCGAGTGGAGAGTCACCGGTATTTCCGCTTGAGTGAGATGTTGACTGCGTGGGCATTGCTGGCTCCGGCCATGTGCTTCCCCTGTCACCACAACGTCACCACAAAGTTAACACAGCGTCACCACAACGTCACCACAACGTTAACACAGCGTCACCACAACGTTAACACAGCGATACCACAACGTCACGGCAAAGTTAACACAGCGTCACCACAACGTCACCACAACGTCACCACAACGTCACCACAAAGTTAACACAGCGTCACCACAATGTCACCACAAAGTTAACACAGCGTCACCACAACGTCACGGCAAAGTTAACACAACGTCACCACAACATCACCACAACGTCACCACAACGTCACCACAACGTCACCACAGCGTCACCACAACATCACCACAACGTCACCACAGCGTCACAGCAAAGTTAACACAACGTCACCACAACGTCACCACAGCGTCACGGCAAAGTTAACACAACGTCACCACAGCGTCACCACGTCACCACAAAGTTAACACAGCGTCACCACAACGTCACCGCAAAGTTAACACAGCGTCACCACAACGTCACCACAACGTCACCGCAACGTTAACACGTCACAATGTCACAACAAAGTTAACACAACGTTAACCCAAAGTCACCACAAAGTTAACACAACGTCACCACAACATCACGACAACGTTAACACAGCGTCACTACATCGTCACCACAAAGTTAACACAGCGTCACCACAGCGTCACCACAACGTTAACACAACGTCACCACAGCGTCACCACGTCACCACAAAGTTAACACAACGTCACCACAACGTCACCACAAAGTTAACACAGCGTCACCACGTCACCACAACGTTAACACAGCGTCACCACGTCACCACAAAGTTAACACGGCATCACCACAACGTCACGACAAAGTTAACACAGCGTCACCACAACGTTAACACAGCGTCACCACGTCACCACAAAGTTAACACAGCGTCACCACAACATCACGACAACGTTAACACAGCGTCACCACAACGTCACGGCAAAGTTAACACAGCGTCACCACAACGTCACAACGTCACCGCAACGTCACCAGAACGTCACAACATCACCACAACGTTAACACAGCATCACCACAACGTCACCACAACGTCACCACAAAGTTAACACGTCACCACAACGTCACGACAAAGTTAACACAACGTCACCACAACATCACCACAAAGTTAACACAGCGTCACCACAACGTCACCACAAAGTTAACACAGCGTCACCACAACGTCACCACAAAGTTAACACAGCGTCACCACAGCATCACGGCAAAGTTAATACAGCGTCACCACAACGTCACGGCAAAGTTAACACAGCGTCACATCGTCACCACAAAGTTAACACAGCGTCACTACAACGTTAACATAACGTCACCACAGCGTCACCACAGCGTCACCACAACGTCACCACAAAGTTAACACAGCGTCACCACAAAGTTAACACAGCGTCACCACGTCACCACAGCGTCACCACGTCACCACAACGTCACCACAATGTTAACACAGCATCACCACGTCACCACAACGTTAACACAACGTCACAACAAAGTTAACACAACGTCACCACAACGTCACCACAACGGTAACACAGCGTCACCACAGAATCACGGCAAAGTTAACACAGCGTCATCACGTCACCACAAAGTTAACACAGCGTCACCACAACATCACCACAACGTTAACACAGCGTCACCACAACGTCACCACAACGTCACCACAACGTTAACACAGCATCACCACAGCATCACGGCAAAGTTAACACAACGTCACCACAACATCACGACAATGTTAACACAGCGTCAACACGTCACCACAACATCACCACAACGTCACCACAACATCACGACAAAGTTAACACAGCGTCACCACAACGTCACCACAAAGTTAACACAGCGTCACCACAACGTCACCACAAAGTTAACACAGCGTCACCACAACATCACCACAACGTCACCACAACGTCACCACAACGTTAACACAGCGTCACCACAGCGTCACGACAAAGATAACACAGCGTCACCACAGCATCACGGCAAAGTTAACACAGCGTCACCACAACGTCACGGCAAAGTTAACACGTCACCACAGCATCACGGCAAAGTTAACACAGCGTCACCACAACGTCACCACAGCGTCACCACATCGTCACCACAACGTTAACACAGCATCACCACAACGTCACCACAACGTCACCGCAACGTTACATTACCACATGATGGTGACTGTGATGAGGATGGCTGTGATGATGGTGATTGTGGTGATGATGGTGACTGTGTTGATGATGATTGTGACTGTGATGATGGTGACGGTGATAATGATAATTGTGTTGATGAGGATGGCTGTGATGATGATTGTGTTGATGATGGTGACTGTGTTGATGATGATGGTGACTGTGATGATGGTGACTGTGATGAGGATGGCTGTGATGATGATTGTGATGATGATTTGATGACGGTGATAATTGTGATGGTGACTGTGATGATGACTGTGATGATGATGACTGTGATGATTGTGATGATGGTGGTGATGACTGTGATGATTGTGATGATGGTGATGATGACTGTTATGATTATGATGACTGTGATGATTGTGATGACTGTGATGATGACTGATGATGGTGATGATGACTGTGATGATGATGAATGTGATGATGATTTGATGACTGTGATGATTGTGATGATGACTGTGATGATTGTGATGATGACTGTGATGATTGTGATGATGACTGTAATACTTTTGATGATGGTGACTGTGATGATGATGAATGTGATGATTGTGATGATGGTGATGATGGTGATGATGAATGTGATGTTTGATTGCCATCACTCAACCTTGCTTGTCTCGAAGTTGCTGAATCCCATGGTAGCCATCATCTCCATCTCGTCCGGAGTCTGATCGCTCTCCACCTCGACCTCTGTGGGTTCACGATGGTCGTGTCACACACTGGAGATATTGACTACCTCGCATGGTACACAGGAGGACGTGGGTTCGATCCTGACCCTAATGAGATGTTGACTACCTCACCTGGTACAGGGGAGGATGTGGGTTCGATCCTGACCCTAATGAGATGTTGACTACCTCGCCTGGTACACAGGAGGACGTGGGTTCGATCCCAACCCTAATGAGATATTGACTACCTCACTTGGTACACAGGAGGACGTGGGTTCGATCCTGACCCTAATGAGATGTTGACTACCTCGCCTGGTACACAGGAGGACGTGGGTTCGATCCTGACCCTAATGAGATGTTGACTACCTCGCCTGGTACACAGGAGGACGTGGGTTCGATCCCAACCCTAATGAGATGTTGACTACCTCGCCTGGTACACAGGAGGACGTGGGTTCGATCCTGACCCTAATGAGATCTTGACTACCTCACCTGGTACAGGGGAGGATGTGGGTTCGATCCTGACCCTAATGAGATGTTGACTACCTCACCTGGTACACAGGACGTGGGTTCAATCCCAACCCTAATGAGATGTTGACTACCTCGCCTGGTACACAGGAGGACGTGGGTTCGATCCCAACCCTAATGAGATGTTGACTACCTCACCTGGTACACAGGAGGATGTGGGTTCGATCCTGACCCTAATGAGATGTTGACTACCTCACCTGGTACACAGGAGGATGTGGGTTCGATCCTGACCATAATGAGATGTTGACTACCTCACCTGGTACACAGGAGGACGTGGGTTCGATCCTGACCCTAATGAGATGTTGACTACCTCGCCTGGTACACAGGAGGATGTGGGTTCGATCCTGACCCTAATGAGATGTTGACTACCTCACCTGGTACACAGGAGGACGTGGGTTCGATCCTGACCCTAATGAGATGTTGACTACCTCACCTGGTACACAGGAGGATGTGGGTTCGATCCCTACCCTAATGAGATGTTGACTACCTCACCTGGTACGCAGGAGGACGTGGGTTCGATCCTGACCCTAATGAGATGTTGACTACCTCACCTGGTACAGGGGAGGATGTGGGTTCGATCCTGACCCTAATGAGATGTTGACTACCTCACCTGGTACACAGGAGGACGTGGGTTCGATCCCGACCCTAATGAAATGTTGACTACCTCACCTGGTACACAGGAGGACGTGGGTTCGATCCTGACCCTAATGAGATGTTGACTACCTCACCTGGTACACAGGAGGACGTGGGTTCGATCCCAACCCTAATGAGACAGACTCCAAATATATGCTGTATATTTGGAGTCTGTCTCTCTCTCTCATCATCATCACAGTGGCTAGGAGATGTTAACTACCTCGCCTGGCACGCAAGAGGTCATGGGTTCGATCCCTGACCCTGACGATGCCTGTTGCTCTACATTTGGAATTTGCAGTGTCTCTCTATCGCTATGAGTCTCTATGGGTCTCCATGGTTCTTTATGGGTCTCTATGGGTCTCTATGGGCCTCTATAGGCCTCTTATGTATCTCTATTTATCTCTATGGGTCTCTATCTATCTCTATTTATCTCTATGGGTCTCTATATGTCTTTATGGGTCTCTATGTGTCTCTGTGGGTTTGTATGTGTCTCTGTGTGTCTCTATGCGTCTCTATGCATTCAGATTACTATACATTTCCACGTGGTGATGATGATATCGGCCAGGTCGCTTCTGAACAAAGAGCTATATAGCTCAGAGAGGCCTTACACCTGCTAAGATGAACGTAGTTTCAATATTTTAAGAGAAAAATAGCTGGTAGCTTATAGAAAGTTCCCACGTGTAGCCTCTAACATACCCTAGGGGCAAGTTGGTGTTAATAGCAACAAGCAGCAGCGCCTATGAAGGCCGGCACTGTGGGTGAGTGAGTCAATGTGTGAGTGGGTGAGTGAGTGGGTGGGTGAGTGAGTGGCTGAGTGAGTGAGTCGCTGAGTGAGTCACTGAGTGAGTGAGCCAGCGAGTGAGTGAGACAGTGAGTGAGTGAGACAGTGAGTGAGTGAGACAGTGAGTGAGTGAGACAGTGAGTGAGTCACTGAGTGAGTCACTGAGTGAGTGAGTCACTGAGTGAGTGAGTCACTGAGTGAGTGAGTCACTGAGTGAGTGAGTCACTGAGTGAGTGAGTCACTGAGTGAGCCAGCGAGTGAGCCACAAACCCTTGGGCTTGACCTTGCGCTGGGACACGGGAGGGGGCGATGAGAGAATGGGCTCAGAGGTGTGACGCGTCGGAGACACGGAGACGGAGCGTGGACGACGTGGAGATCTGGGGACAGAAAGCAGACAGAGAGACCGAGAGAGAGACAGACACAGAGAGAGACAAAGAAAGAGACAAGGAGAGAGAGAGACAGAGATAGAGACAGAGAGAGAAACAGAGAGAGACATAGAGAAAGACAGCGAGAGAGAGACAAAGAGACAGTGAGATATCAGAGTCACACAGATAAAGTACGAGTGTGATGAGTTATTCGATGAGTGGATGAGTGGGTGATTGAGTGAGCGGGTGAGTGCGCGGGTGAGTGAGCGTGTGAGTGAGCGAGTGGGTGAGTGACCGGGTGAGTGAGTGTGTGAGAGTGAGTGAGTGAGCGGGTGAGTGAGTGTGTGGGCGAGTGAGTGGGTGGGTGAGCGGGTGGGTGGGTGAGTGTGTCAGTGGGTGGGTTAGTGAGCTGGGTGGGCGGGTAAAGGGATAGGTGAGTGGGTGTGTAAGTGGGTAGGTGAGTGGGTGGGTGAGTTTAGGAGTGAGTAGATGAGTGAGTCAGTGAGCAGAAGATGAGTGAGTGGCAGATTCTGAGTGAATGAGTTTATGAGTGAGTGCGTGTATGAGTAAGAGGATGAGCACGTCTGTGAGTGAGTGGGTGACTGAGTGAGCAAGTGAGTGACTGACTGAGTGGACGAGTGAGTGAGCGAGTGGATGACTGAGTGACTGACTGAGTGAGCAGGTTAGTGAGTAAGCGATTGGGTGAGCGAGTGAGTAGGTGGCTGAGTGAGCGAGCGGATGACCGACTGACTGACTGAGCAGGCGAGTGAGCGAGCGATTGGGTGAGTGAGTGGATGAGTCAGTGAGTGACTGAGTGAGTGAGCGGGTGATTGGGTGAGCGAGTGGATCACTGACTGAGTGGGTGAGTGATTGGGTGAGTGAGTGGATGAGTCAGTGAGTGACTGAGTGAGTGAGCGGGTGATTGGGTGAGCGAGCGATTGGATGAGCGAGCGATTGGATGAGCGAGCGAATGACTGACTGAGTGAGTGAGCGAGTGGATCACTGATTGACTGAGCCGGTGTGCGATTGGGTGAGTGAGCGATTGGGTGAGTAAATGGGTGAGGGTGCGATTGGATGAGCGAGCAAGTGACTGAGTGAGTGAGCGGATCATTGATTGACTGAGCGGGTGAGCGATTGGCAGAGTGAGTGACTTAGTGAGCGATTGGGTGAACGAGCAAGTGGATGACTGACTGAGTGAGTGTGTGAGCGATTGGGTGAGTTAAGTGATTCAGTGAGCGACTGGCAGAGTGAGCGAGCGGATGGATGACCGACCCACTGACTGAGCGATTGGGTGAGTGGGTGAACGAGTGGGTGAGTGGGTGAGTGGATGACTGATAACTGAGTGGGTGAGCAATTGGGTGAGTAAGTGAGCGATTGGGTGAGCGAGCGAGTGAGTGGGTGATTGAGTGGATGAGCGAGTGTATGACTGAGTGAGTGGGTGAGGAATTGGGTGAGTGAGCGAGCGATTGGGTGAGTGAGCGAGTGAGTGGGTGATTGAGTGGGTGAGCGAGTGGATGACTGAGTGGGTGAGTGAGCGAGTGAGTGGGTGAGCGAGCGAGTGGGTGATTGAGTGGGTGAGCGAGTGGATGACTGAGTGGGTGAGGAATTGGGTGAGTGAGCGAGCGATTGGGTGAGTGAGCGAGTGAGTGAGTGATTGAGTGGGTGAGCGAGTGGATGACTGAGTGAGTGGGTGAGCGATTGGGTGAGTGAGCGAGCGATTGGGCGAGTGAGCGAGTGGGTGGGTGAGCGAGTGGATGACTGACTGATTGAGTGGGTGAGCGAGTGGATGACTGAGTGAGTGGGTGAGCGAGTGAGTGAGCGAGTGAGTGGGTGAGCGAGTGGATGACTGACTGAGTGGGTGAGCGAGTGGATAACTGACTGAGTGAGTGGGTGAGCGATTGGGTGAGTGAGCGAGTGAGTGATTGAGTGGGTGAGCGAGTGGATGACTGACTGAGTGGGTAAGTGAGTGGATGACTGAGTGAGTGGGTGAGCGAGTGGATGACTGACTGAGTGGGTGAGTGAGTGGATGACTGAGTGAGTGGGTGAGCGAGTGGATGACTGACTGAGTGAGTGGGTGAGCGAGTGGATGACTGAGTGAGTGGGTGAGCGATTGGGTGAGTGAGCGAGTGAGCGAGTGGATGACTGAGTGAGTGGGTGAGCGAGTGAGTGAGTGGGTAAGCGAGTGGATGACTGACTGAGTGAGTGGGTGAGCGAGTGGATGACTGACTGAGTGAGTGGGTGAGCAATTGGGTGAGTGAACCAGTGAGTGATTGAGTGGGTGAGCGAGTGGATGACTGACTGAGTGGGTGAGTGAGTGGATGACTGAGTGAGTGGGTGAGCGAGTGGATGACTGACTGAGTGGGTGAGTGAGTGGATGACTGAGTGAGTGGGTGAGCGAGTGGATGACTGACCGAGTGAGTGGGTGAGCGAGTGGATGACTGAGTGGGTGAGCGATTGGGTGAGTGAGCGAGTGGATGACTGAGTGAGTGGGTGAGCGAGTGAGTGAGTGGGTGAGCGAGTGGATGACTGACTGAGTGAGTGGGTGAGCGAGTGGATGACTGACTGAGTGAGTGGGTGAGCGATTGGGTGAGTGAGCGAGTGAGTGGGGGAGCAATTGGGTGAGCGAGCGAGCGACTTCTCACCGCGACCGTCGCCGGTATGGCGACCGCGATGAGCGTGAGGGCGACCGCCTCCGCTCTCTCTTGGCTGGCTCCCTCTTGGCTGGCTCCCGAGGATCGCGAGCCTCACGGGGATCGCGAGCCTCACGAGCCTGCCTCTTACGAGGCTCCCGAGAGCCTCCTGGATTCGGGAAGAGGGAGACACGGGGAGAAGGGAGACACGGGGAGGGAGACACGGGGAGGGGGAGGGAGACACGGGGAGGGAGACACGGGGAGGAGGGAGACACGGGGAGGGAGAGGGAGACACGGGGAGGAGGGAGACACGGGGAGGAGGGAGACACGGGGAGGGAGACACGGGGAGGAGACGGGGGGAGGAGACACGGGGAGGAGGAGGGAGACACGGGGAGAAGGGATACACGGGGAGACACGAGGAAGAGGGAGACACGAGGAAGAGGGAGACACGGGGAGAAGGGAGACACGGGGAGGGAGACACGGGGAGGGGGAGGGAGACACGGGGAGGGGGAGGGAGACACGGGGAGGGGGGAGACACGGGGAGGAGACACGGGGAGACACGGGGAGGGAGACACGGGGAGAAGGGAGACACGGGGAGGGAGACACGGGGAGGGGGGAGACACGGGGAGGAGACACGGGGAGGAGGGAGACACGGGGAGAAGGGAGACACGGGGAGACACGGGGAGGAGACACGGGGGGGAGGGAGACACGGGGAGGAGACACGGGGGGGAGGAGGGAGACACGGGGAGAAGGGAGACACGGGGAGACACGGGGAGGTGGAGACACGGGGAAGAGGGAGACACGGGGAGAAGGGAGACACGGGGAGGAGGGAGACACGGGGAGGGATAGGGAGACACGGGGAGGAGGGAGACACGGGGAGGAGGGAGACACGGGGAGAAGGGAGACAGGGGGAGGAGGGAGACACGGGGAGAGGGGAGACACGGGGAGGAGACACGGGATGGAGGAGGGAGACAGAAGGGAGACACGGGGAGAAGGGAGACACGGGGAGGGAGACACGGGGAGGAGGGAGACACGGGGGGGAGGAGACACGGGGAGGAGACACGGGGAGGAGACACGGGGAGGAGGAGGGAGACACGGGGAGGAGACACGGGGAGGGAGAGGGAGACATGGGGAGGGAGAGACGGGGAGGGGGGAGGAGGGAGACACAGGGAGAAGGGAGACACGGGGGGGAGAAGGGAGACACGGGGGGGAGGAGGGAGACACGGGGAGAAGGGATACACGGGGAGACACGAGGAAGACACGGGGAGAAGGGAGACACGGGGAGGGAGACACGAGGAAGAGGGAGACACGGGGAGAAGGGAGACACGGGGAGGAGACACGGGGAGGAGGAGGGAGACACGGGGAGGGGGAGGGAGACACGGGGAGGGGGACACGGGGAGATGTTAGCGCTCTCGTCAGTCGAGTGTTGTAGTTCGTAGATCGTCGTAATAGTAACGTGTAGTGTGTCGTAATTATTAGTAGTAATAATTATTAGTTAGTAATAGTAATAATTAGTAATAACGAGTAGTAGTTTGTAATCTGTAAATGTTTGTGGAGGTTTTGGCGACTCCGTAGGCCGCTTAGGCCCCAGCGAGGCGCTCACCTCGCCTAGCCGAGGGCGAACGGCTGCGGCTTCGGCCCATCTCCCGACTCGGCGATCGGAAAACAAACAAACAAACAACAACAAACAAATAAACAACAACAAAGCGGAACGATTTAGCGCTGATTCGACGCAAACAATTTTTTTAATCAGCCGACTTATGGGGAGGCCGATCTTGAACGCTCACGAACACGAAATGGATAAACAACCAGAGCCGTGACGTCACTCGGCAAGGTTGCGATGACGTCACGTCGCCCGCCGCACACTTGCTCTGAATGACGTCGTCAGACAAGGTTGGGACGACGTCACTTGCACACGCGGGGCCCTTAATCGCGTCACTGGCAATGTTTCGGAGACGTCACGGCACCCGCCACACGCCAAGCCCTGAGTGACGTAATTCGGACAGGTTGCGAAGACGTCACGTCCCCCACACACGTTCGCGTCGAGTGACGTCGCTCGGCAAGGTTGCGATGACGTCACGTCACCCCCCACACGTTCGCGCCGAGTGACGTCTCTCGGCAAGGTTGCGATGGCGTCACGTCACCCAATACCAACAACCGCTAAGTGGCGGTGACGTCACCACGGCGCCTGTGCCAGGCTATGTGCACCTTGAGGCCACGTGAAGTGTTGAAGGCTCGCTGCTGACAGGAGGTCACGTGACAGACCCAGCAGGTGCCATGGGTTTGACATCTGTGCCAGGCTAGGTGCATGAGGAGGTCACGGGACAGACCCAGCAGGTGCCATGGGTTTGACATCTGTGCCAGGCTAGGTGCATGAGGAGGTCACGGCACAGACCCTGGAGGTGCCATGGGTTGACTGCTGTGCCAGGCTAGGTGCATGAGGAGGAGGTCACGGGACAGACCCAGCAGGTGCCATGGGTTGACTGCTGTGCCAGGCTAGGTGCATGAGGTCACGGGACAGACCCAGCAGGTGCCATGGGTTGACTGCTGTGCCAGGCTAGGTGCATGAGGAGGATGTCACGGGACAGACCCAGCAGGTGGCATGGGTTTGACTGCTGTGCCAGGCTAGGTGCATGAGGAGGATGTCACGGGACAGACCCTGCAGGTGCCATGGATTGACCAATTGAGATGACTGGCTGATGCACCACCTGTGCCCCCTACTGTGCCAACCTGCTGTGCTTTAGTCACCCGGCGCTCCGCTCGTTGTTGTGAGCGTCGCTCCTCCGCCCTCCGTTGTTGTTGGAGGGCGACTGCCTCCAACTGCCCAGTAGCGTCCTTCACGAGCCTCCTCCACAGAGGCCGATCTTGACACCGCTGGTACCAGTCATCGGCAAGTCCACTCAGCTCCACGTCCTCCTGTACCACATCACTCCATCTCTTCTCTAGCCCGTGCCGCGCCCGTTTAGCCCCCTCGATCCGGCCGAACAAAAGCTGTTTCGGCATGCGGTGGCTGGGCATGCGGGCTACATGACCCTGCCAACGCAGCCTTGCCTGCCGGAGGAGCTCACCGATTTTACTGTGTCCAGATCGCTCAAGGATTTGTGAGCTCCTCACGCAATCCAGCCCCGCAGATTAAACCCAGGATGTTTCTAACCAGCGCAAATGTTCCATTAGAGGGGTTCGCGTTTCACAAGCGTAGAGAAGGGAGGGCTTGACTGTGGCCGAGAAGACCAGAAGCTTCGTGTGGAGCGACAGACCAGCTAGCTTCCACACAGCGTTATGAAAAGATAATGCCGCCCAACTGCTATGGAGACCTCTGCTGTCAAACCGGAGCTGGTCATACACTGCCCAGGAATGGGAAACTCTCCATTCTCTCCACACCTGCTCCATCACCAATTGTGAGCTGAGGGGGTGGAGTGGCACAAAATACCCAGGCAGGTGCTTCGTTTTGGTGGGGCCGGTTGTAAGGCCCCACCTCTTAGTGGCATGCTCCAGATTAAGCAGCAGCGCCTCCAACTCCTCCTCTGAGTGAGCAGCAATCACCAGATCATCAGCATGCAAGGCATGGTTGACCGATAGGGAGCCATCCCTCGACCGCACCCGAACATTGATCAGCCTCCCATTGTATCTGTACCAGATGGACATTCCTCCGGTACAGCCATGGAAAGCTTCTCGAATTACGTGGTCAAAGATTATGTTAAATAATGTGGGAGCCAGAGGACATCCCTGTCGCATCCCAAGGTGAACAGGGAATGGCTCTGACTCCTGGCCACGTAGTTTTACCCGGGCCTGCCCACCATCATGAAGGCCCTTAATGATTGTGAGCAGAGAGTCAGGGACTCCGAAAGCACGAACAACAACCCAGAGCCCATGGCTTTTGATGGTATTGTAGCTAGGCCATAGCCATGGAATCACCATTGGGGGGGGACCAAATCTTCCAGGGTGTCTGGGGGTCCCAAACCAGAAAAAATATCTAAATTTGAAAACTAGTTTCCTGCCTAAAATATTTAAAAATTCACTAACACATGAGATGGTCTTTCATTTATTTTTTTACAATAATGTCTAATAGTGTATTGTATTACATCGCTCTGTTTTTACTTTTTTTATCACCATTTCTTGTCTCATTGTATGTAATGGCAGAGATTAGGGATTAATAAAGTACAACCATAAGCACAATCGTATAAACAGAAATCTATGCATTGATTTATATGAAGACAAGTCCAGATATTGTGGCAAAGGTTGAGCAAAGTTTTTTTTTAATTTGCATAGCATACCAATTAATTATTTTTATAGCAAGATATTGGGGGGGGGGGAATTTTGAGCATATTTGTCCGCTCCAATATACAGAGTAAAACCTTGGATTGAGAGTAACTTGGTCTGCGAGTGTTTTGCAAGACGAGCAGAATTTTTAAATAAATAATAATTTGATAAACGAGCGATGTCTTGCAATACGAGCAGTACGTACACAGTATACGCTTTGTCTGCCGAGCGTCACGTGATCACAACTGAATCAATGGTTCTTCTCTCTCTCTCTCGCTACGGGATTGTGGGTAATCGTCTCCCATGCTCGGTCTCAGTCGGCGTGCCTCACCCGTATAGTCAACATCCGTGCACGTGTATACTGTTTACTACAGTACTATAGTGTTGTGACCACGTGTATACTGTTTTCTATAGTACTATAGTGTTGTGACCACGTGTATACTGTTTACTACAGTACTATAGTGTTGTGACCACGTGTATACTGTTTACTGCAGTACTATAGTGTTGTGACCACGTGTATACTGTTTACTATAGTACTATAGTGTTGTGACCACGTGTATACTGTTTACTACAGTACTATAGTGTTGTGACCACGTGTATACTGTTTACTACAGTACTATAGTGTTGTGACCACGTGTATACTGTTTACTACAGTACTATAGTGTTGTGACCACGTGTATACTGTTTTCTATAGTACTATAGTGGTGTGACCACGTGTATACTGTTTACTACAGTACTATAGTGTTGTGACCACGTGTATACTGTTTACTGCAGTACTATAGTGTTGTGACCACGTGTATACTGTTTACTATAGTACTATAGTGTTGTGACCACGTGTATACTGTTTACTACAGTACTATAGTGTTGTGACCACGTGTATACTGTTTACTACAGTACTATAGTGTTGTGACCACGTGTATACTGTTTACTACAGTACTATAGTGTTGTGACCACGTGTATACTGTTTACTATAGTATTATAGTGTTGTGACCACGTGTATACTGTTTACTATAGTACTATAGTGTTGTGACCACGTGTATTCTGTTTACTATAGTACTATAGTGTTGTGACCACGTGTATACTGTTTACTACAGTACTATAGTGTTGTGACCACGTGTATACTGTTTACTATAGTACTATAGTGTTGTGACCACGTGTATACTGTTTACTATAGTACTATAATGTTATAACCACGTGTATACTGTTTACTACAGTACTATAGTGTTGTGACCACGTGTATACTGTTTACTACAGTACTATAGTGTTGTGACCACGTGTACACTGTTTACTACAGTACTATAGTGTTGTAACCACGTGTATACTGTTTACTACAGTACTATAGTGTTGTGACCACGTGTATACTGTTTACTATAGTACTATAATGTTGTAACCACGTGTATACTGTTTACTATAGTACTATAGTGTTGTGACCACGTGTATACTGTTTACTACAGTACTATAATGTTGTGACCACGTGTATACTGTTTACTATAGTACTATAGTGTTGTGACTACGTGTATACTGTTTACTACAGCACTATAGTGTTGTGACCACGTGTATACTGTTTACTATAGTACTATAGTGTTGTGACCACGTGTATACTGTTTACTATAGTACTATAGTGTTGTGACCACGTGTATACTGTTTAGTATAGTACTATAGTGTTGTGACCACGTGTATACTGTTTACTATAGTACTATAGTGTTGTGACCACGTGTATACTGTTTACTACAGTACTATAGTGTTGTGACCACGTGTATAATGTTTACTACATCACTATAGTGTTGTGACCACGTGTATACTGTTTACTACAGTACTAGTGTTGTGACCACGTGTATACTGTTTACTACAGTATAGTGTTGTGACCACGTGTATACTGTTTACTATAGTACTATAGTGTTGTGACCACGTGTATACTGTTTACTACAATACTATAGTGTTGTGACCACGTGTATACTGTTTACTACAGTACTATAGTGTTGTGACCACGTGTATACTGTTTACTATAGTACTATAGTGTTGTGACCACGTGTATACTGTTTACTATAGTACTATAGTGTTGTGACCACGTGTATACTGTTTACTACAATACTATAGTGTTGTGACCACGTGTATACTGTTTACTACAGTACTATAGTGTTGTGACCACGTGTATACTGTTTACTATAGTACTATAGTGTTGTGACCACGTGTATACTGTTTACTATAGTACTATAGTGTTGTGACCACGTGTATACTGTTTACTATAGTGCTATAGTGTTGTGACCACGTGTATACTGTTTACTATAGTGCTATAGTGTTGTGACCACGTGTATACTGTTTACTATAGTACTATAGTGTTATGACCACGTGTGTGTGCGTAAAACATTTTTTTATTTTGTGTCCAAGTGTAGTGACTGTTCTTTAGTAACTGTACTGCAAGTGAAAGTCGTCCTACACAATAACCCTCCTCTCCTCTCTCTCGTCTCCCTCACACCAGCCACGATTAAATGTAATTAATAAATTTGATTACTTTATATTACATTTAAATAATACAAATATAAAAAGATATTTTCTATTAATCATTTTGACATGAATATTTTTGGGTTGTGGAACGAAT